TCCCTTCCAGCATGCAAACGCAAAGAGCAAGAACCAAACAAAGACAGGAACAATTCCCAGAAGAAATCCCGCCTGGTGTTCACTGACCTCCAACGCCGAACACTCTTCGCCATCTTCAAGGAAAACAAGCGCCCATCAAAAGAGATGCAGATCACCATCTCCCAGCAGCTGGGCCTGGAGCTCACAACCGTCAGCAACTTCTTCATGAACGCCCGGCGCCGTAGCCTGGAGAAGTGGCAGGACGACCTGAGCACCGGGGGCTCCTCGTCCACCTCCAGCACTTGTACCAAAGCCTGATGGAAGGACTCTTAGTTGGGCACAAGTCGTTTCCAAATGAGTAAAACACATACCAAAAGAAAACACAAAGGAAAAAGACACTGGATTCTTAGCTGGGGCCCTTCACTGGTGACTTGAAAGCACAATTCTCTTGAAAAGAAACTTCTAGCTGTAATCATAGGCCAGGTGTTCTTTTTTGTTTTGTTTTTAATGGCTATGGAGCCCAAGTGAAAGCTGAAAATGAATCTCTTTGAACCGGACTTTGTCCTCTGAGCATGCTGAGCATCTCCGAAACCCAAATGGGGCCTTCCTGGAGCACGTTCATTTCAGTGTAGTGTCAACCAAGCTCAGGATTGCTTAAAATGTCAACAGCCCCACTTGGGGGGTTTTCAACCTCTTGCAGTCAGAGTTCTCACAAGTAACCGTGGGAATTCCGTCTGAGTTTGGGCTCCCAAGATGCTACTTTAAGAGAAGACTCTAGCAACCAGAATGACCTCATTTGATTTCCAAGTGCTTAGCCACATCACACCACATACACCAAAGTTCACAGCCATAACATAAAAAACATCGGATATGATAATTACTGAGCACAAGTATTAAATATGAAGTTAAAAACAAACAAACAAACCCAAGGACCTGTTTTTCCAACTCAGGCATCTTTTCACTGAATGCTTTTGAAAGATTTAAGTTGGTCCAGTTTACAATTTCCTTTTCTTTACCTCCTGTAAATCTAATACGGTCTTGGATCCATCAAAACAACAAATCAGTTCACTTAAGCTCAAAGTATCAAGCACAACAAAGATAAACAGAGAAGAAAGGAAGGTTTTGGATTCACCACCTCTGGATTTTCAAGACACCGATTGGGAAGTCATTAGGGAATCATTGGGAATAAGGCTTCAAGCACATTTTGCAGTTTGCTACAAATTCTGTTTGTACATAATGCAGACGCACACTCAGGAGGCCAATTTAACTGTTATGGTACATGGAGCAAATGCAGCATTTTAAAAGATCTAGATTTTTTTAGATCATTAATGTATCCTTCTTGGTTGTTAGTCACCTGGTTCCTCCTATTGTGCATTCACCACGTAACTCATTCTCATTCTTTCAGATTTGGGTTGTTCTCTCATCCATCCCATTGGTAGGGATGTTTTCAGTGTTTTCTTACAAGAAAAAGATAATAATTCAAACCGCCATACATGTTATGCATCTAGTCCTAAACCTCTTCCATTGTTAAGTTGTCCTAGAAAAACAGCTGAATAAAACTGGAGAAAACACAGCACACCAAAGAAGCAGAATACTGCAAACCAAAGACATTTATTACTTGCCATTTTCTAGCCTAAATATACTGTGATTACGTTTAGAAATCAGAAAACCTCTGCAACTCCAAATGGCATTCAGCTCTTGCATTTGGCTCACCATCAGGCTGAGCAGACAGGCTATGCCAAGGACATCAGCCAAGCCACCCAGGGAGTGGCTGTCACCTTCCAACAGCAAGCAGGAGAGCGCCCACAGAACTCTGGGAGATTGCGAAGGTCACGATGTGCATATTTACCAGTGAATGGCCCCAGGTGGGCACCATGGGGGTGTTCAAAGCAAGCCAAACGCTGCAATGATTCTTTACAGACACTTGAGACTGACTTTTTTTATGAATTACTTAATCGAAACCAAAGAAACTTTTTCTGCACCTACTTCTGCAACAAACAAAACTGTCCCATTAAGGTGAATAAGTAAATGCATAAATCAATGAAAATCACCACCAAGAAGAAGGAAGCACGCCAGAAAAAAAAATGCAGTGAGACACACTGTGTTCAAACAGACCTCTTGGGACATTTTTTGGAAGCAGATTTGAAAGAAAGGGTTGAGACAAGAATGGAAATAAGGAAAACGCCTGAGTGGCTGCTGCTTCATTTGACAACTCACGCGGGAATCTTAAAGTTGAAGATTGTCTTTAATTTGTGCCTATGCAGTTTTTCAAAAGAACACGGAACAGAGCAACAGAAACCTCAACAGCTACAATACCAAAGATGAGGATTTCTCACACCTTTTGTTTCAGTTCATTATCTCCTCTTGCCTGGCTAACATACTAATAGTACTATTGATCTGTATAAAGGTAATCAATTTTGTTTCTGAGCAACGAAAGGAAAGGGTCATTTATTTGATTTTATTGTTTCCCTTTCATCTTGTTTTATGGCTTTCTACCCTAATATGGAATCTCTCAAAAGGTTCTATGGACTCCAAGTTTAAGATGTTGGCATAGTGAACGACTCTCTTCTCTCTGCTCCGCAGAGTGGGGGGGAATGGTAGTGTCATTTGAATGTTCTTTGCTAATCCCTTAGACTTAAGGTTCCTTCTTTGTTCAGTCTCATCATCAGGGGAGGGGAGGGGAGTGAGAGTCAGGGTTAGGGATCTTGGTGACACATCCTCGCCCGAGCCACAGAACCAAAGAGTTTATAGAGGAATTGACAGCCTCATTTGATTGCTACATCCTAACAGGGCTTCATTTGGGGGTGGGGGGAAACATGTAAAAATAATTGCCAGTTTCTACTTTTCTATTAGCTTTTTAAAAATCAGCTGTAAAGTTGCATTTCTAAAGAAAGATATATATATATATATAATATATGAACACGTATATAGACTCAACTTGACATTGGTGATAACCCCAAAATTATTACTGCCCAAATTCATGTCTTGTTTTTATCAAGTGTTTCATTGATTAAGTATTCAGTTCAGAATTTTGCTCATTTCTCATGCCATCCCAGAGTTTGTTTACCACTGTGGATGACTTGGAGTATTCACATTTCTGTGAAAATTCCTGGCAAAGGTTGAAAGTCAAGTACAAGCTTGATAAGCTGTTGATAAATGGACCCAAGGTGAAAATGAGTTTTATTTGTATTTGGAGTCATCGCTCATCTATGCCTCAACCATAATCAAGGTGGTGAGGCCCACCAGCCCCAGAGCTAGGCCAGGGCCAGTCAGGTGCTCGTCTTCTGGGAAGGCTTCATGGTCCATTCCCACCACTTATGGAGATGAGGCCAGTCCAGAAATCTGTTCTCCAGGAGCGTCCCAGTCCCAGGTGTTCTAGATCCTCCTCGGTGAGTAGATCTACCAAAGGGACTTCTCAAAGGGGAAGTACCTCCCATTGCAGTGGGTTAATCAGGTTTCCTCAGGGTGGTAATGACCAAATTGCGTAGACAAGCCTGTGTATAACCACAGCTGGCTCTGGGGTAAGGCAATGGTGTTGTTGGGGCGGGGGTGGGTCTCAGTCCTGGAGAGAAAATGCAAAGCAGGGTCCTGCCCCTGGGAGCCCCATTGTCCCTTGTTCCACTTCTCACTCCCACCGTGTGGGTCTCCCTTCTCAGTGGCAGCAGCCATGGAGCTGTGACTCTCCTGGACTTTTGTCATTCACCCTACCTGGACTTTTCCGTGTCTCTTTGTCTCTTGCTCATACTCCATGTCTTCTTTGTCAAATGACCAAAAAAGAGCATTATTTCAGCAGGTGAACGCTTTATATTGGTTGATAAAAATGAATTTCAACTTGCATATTTCCAAATGATTCCTTGTGACTTGTGGCCAGTGGAAATGGTTGTTCTATCAAGAGTAGATTGAGCAGCCAAGCCTGCTTGGTTTGATTAGTGATTCTTTGGTACTCTAATCTCAGCATTTCAGTCTCTGGCATCATCGGAAGATGTCTACTCCAAAAGAGCAAAAATCTCTTTGTGGCCTGAGATTTCAACACTGGCCCAAATGAGGGGTAGTCACATACACCCTCTGTGTTCCTGGTGACCTGAGGAAGAGGTCATAATGTAAAAAACCAAGAACTCCCCTCCAAGGACTTTTCATAAACGTCTCACCAGAGAAATGTGTGTTTTAAAAAATTATTTACATACATACATGAATACATGTGTGTATCCATATACTTATGTATCAAAATTGGAAGCCCTACTGATTTTCAATTTGTTAAAAATCTGAAAGGGAAAAAAATCTCTACAAATTGAAAGGTAATGGAATTTGACCCATGAGTTTCCTCGAGCGTTTTTAAATCTTACTTTTAAATTAATAATTTCAGGAAAAAAAATAATTGTTTGGTCATGTTATAGTTTAAGGTCCTTTTCTTCAATCCAAAAAAAAAAAAAATTCCAGGCATGCCTCAGCCATCAGCAATGGAAGGGACAGTGTGAAGGGACAGTCCTGAACCAAAATTCACATTCTTGAGGCACCAGAAGTCCAAAGGCTATTGAGTTGAAAAATACTTTTCTTTATTCTTGTGTGTTCAATGTGATTTTGGTTCTGGGAATATCATTCTTTTATTCCAGGAATTTTTTATTAAGAGCCAATATTTTTTAAAGGAAAACAGCAACAATAATAAAAACTCAACCCCAATAATAAAGGCTTTTCTAAAATGTAAAATAGTGTGTAGGTTGTACCATGTACAGGTACCGGCGAGAATGAGTTGGGAAAGGACCAGCCTGACATTTTCTCCAGAGAGATGAGAGCAGTGGCTCCGTAGTATCTCTTTTTCTGCAGGCTGTTGGCATTTATGGACTTAGAAAATTCAAGCTAATTTTCATTCAGAGCTAAAGTAAAATAAAAATTAGGAAGGCAAATCTTATATATATATATGCTTGTTTGTAAGTCTAACAATGTAATTCAGAGCCAAATATAAATACCTTTTAAATGATCAATCATTTTACCTTATCTATGCTGGGCACCCACCTATTAATGCCAATAAATTAAAGTTGAACAGATTTTTTAAAATCTTTACCACTGGATAGGGTCGGGAGGACCCTTCCCCACTTTTGAAAATATTGGTAGAATTACACAGGTGTCTGTGTGATTGTCATTGCTATTGTGTCATGACAATATACTTTGCAGTGAACTTGGATTTTCAGGAAGTTGTATAGTAAAAGTTTTTAAAAATATAAAAAGAACAGGCTGGGTTCCAGTGTTATTAAAGAATAATGAACTTTATTAAAAAGTAGAGAAAAAGAGATGATACATATGGTCCAAGTTTATACCAAGACCCAGACACAAGTACTGGGAACATAATTATCATGATTCCTAACAGATCAGAGCTGATTTTTTGTTGTTGTTGCTGCTGATGTTGTGTGATTTGGACTTGTTAGCCTAACCAGGAGGAGTGAATGGGGAAATGGCAGATGCAGAAGGGAGAGAGCTGGTGCCTATAACTTGCTGATACTTACCTGCGAGACTGACTAGCTTAATAATTTGGTACCTTTCACTAAGACCAAGTCACCGTAAAAGAGCAGGAGATCCTAGTTATCGAGAAGTTTACAAAATTCTTACTAAAGGAAGAAGGGGCACCTGATTTGTGAGAATCTCAGAAGTTAATGACATTGGCTTTAAATATGGATGTCCCAATGCCAATTTTCTTTTCAAAAATACCCTTGATATTTTTCTTTCCAGGGGCAAGAGAAAGAGAGGGTTTGTTTATTTGTTTTAGGAAGTCTCAGAATGCATTATAAAATAGAAAAACAATTATTAAAATAAAATAGGGCCTCACGTAGGTAGACACAAAGCTTATAAAGGAGGCTGATGGGCAATTGCATGAATCCCACAGGACCAGAAATACTCATTGTTCTCAGATACCAAAATGACTGACAGTCTCGGGCAAGTTAAAACTGGAGCCCGAGCTTTCCTTACAGGTGTTTGAGTTTGCTGACTGGAATTAGCCAGCTAATACCTTTTTAGTCGAGATAATGTGTATAGGAAAAAACACATTGCCACGAGTTTGGTCATCCCATGGAAGTCTTCCACTCTGTCCCATCTTTTAGCAGCAGACATTTCAAATAGCATAAACCTTGGTAGATACGTTTGCCTCAAGTTCACAGTCTGTCAGCTTGGATGTATGCAGGTTTAGATACATCTTCTGACTTGTATTCTCATGATGTCCTTATAGCCACACACATTACCTATGCGTGTCTAGACTGTGCACAGATATGTGTGCACAGACATCTCCATACACATCTACTGTCATCTGTTACAATAAATTTTAAATGATCATTTAACATGCATGTAGTACATCTACAATGTACATTGTTTTCATTATTCATTGTAACACGTAAAACTCAAGTTCAGGGGGAGAAAAGTATCCCAACATCTTCTTTGTGTGCACTTGGAGTTACCTTCATTTGGGCACATCCAAGATAAACTCAACTTTCAAGAAAGCTTGGATGTTATTTAATCATCTGTGTAAGAATGATACATATGCTTGATTACTTCGGTTGAATAGCTTTATTCTGGATCTCTCATAACTAAAGCTAAATCCAAAGACCTGAAAAGGGACAAAAAGAATAAAACAAAGAAAAAGAAGGACAAAATAGCAAAAGAAAGCGCAAACTAATAGGGAAAAAGTGGACTCTGGTTCCCAGGGTTGAGACAATGGTGATGTGGTATTGTGGGGGCTGCGCTAGCTAGAGACGGGGAAGTGGTGATTATTTTTCCATGCTTGTCACATCTAAATGGTCTTTCTGAGCATAAGTTTTAGAGGTTATAATTTCCTGCTTTACTTTCATTTAGACTATTGAAAGAGGTTAATAAATGTTGTCCATCAAAAAAATGAAGACAGTCAAAAGAAACATTTTTTTTTCTTGTCTCTTTGGGTTATGACCCAACCAGCTATGTAATTAATTTATTTAATTAGTCTCTAGTACAGAAATGTATAGGATGTGGGTAATTATTTAATCATCCTTCCTTAGTTTGATTTTACTCCTTGTGCTTATTTATCAAAATCTAGATCAATCTCTTGAAGGTTAGTTTGCTTTATAAAGCAGTGAAATTCTGTTACAGACAGGGAAGAAGTACAGGTTACAGGAAAAAAAGAGAAATCGAGGTATGTTTCCTTCTTGAATTAACTTTGAAAATAGTTTAAATAACAATTATTAAATTATTTAATTTAAGTTCGCAGCCTCACCTGGTACCAGGCAAACTTCACCTTTGAATTATTGGGGCCCGCAGAGCCTTCCTAATGTAACTTATTTATTTAACTTATTCAGCATCTGTGAAAGGTGCACTGTATAGTTTATATTTTTTATTTAAAAACAACAGAGAGCACTATAGTTTGTTTGTGGTCAGAACAACAGAGCAAAGTCTGTGGACAAGCAATGACTATTCAACTTGAACTTGTGCATTCAGAAAACATAAGCCGAGACCCTGCTTCACCAGCCTGGATTTCGGGGCTTCTATACAGAAACTGGAAAAATACATTTTAAAAAAGCATAACTGCAAAAAGAGAGAAACCCTTACACTAGCTGCTTCCAAGAATGAACTCTGTGTGTGTGTAAAACAACAAAACAGAAAAGGAAAAAAAAAAAGCAGAAAAAAGAAAAAAAAAGGAAAAACTTTCTATTTCTAGTGAGAACCAAAGAAGGCTACCTCACTGACTTTTTCCATTTGTAATTTTAATCGTGTTGAGACACCAAAGATACCAAAGATTTCTTTCTCTGTGCGGTCTGCATTTTGCTTGTGCTCTTTTACAATTTTAACTATTCTCTCTGATGTATGGTATGTACAGCCACAGCTCAGATACCCCAAAGAAAGAATTATCTGTGCGACGACGGCTGCCAATTGGAGAAGGGATATTTTCTGTGTTTCTCCCACTTGTTCCCCATCCCTGCCACATGTTCAGGATGCAAATTCAGATGCTGCTGTAATTGGGTTCCTTAAATTCCAATGCCAAATGGGTGAAGAAGTCTGGTTGGAAGTGGCCTTCAGTCCTAGCCACGACCTTGTCCTCACTCACTATGGAGTTAAAACAGTTAAGATTTCCAATTACTGGACCACAGAAACTCTAACCACTCAACAGTAGAACTAGAAGGGAGCTTAGAAATCATTTACAACACTTCCCTTCCCCCGGAGGCCTGGAGGAGTTGAAGGCTACGTAGAGGCAAAGGCCCCCTGCTCCAGTGCTCTGCGCTTCCTCTGCAGGAGACAGGCCACACGTTGGCAAAGAGCAGGGTGGCAATCCTTCAGCAATGAGTAGGGCCTGGGCTTATCACTTAACATTTTCAGTGGGTAAAAATAGTCAGAGGCATTTCAGTGTGTGTCTTGTTAGAACCTCAACAGAAAGTCCCATATGGTCAGTTGCTATAAAAGTGACCCCCCCTTGAAATATCAGGGCCCATCGAGAGGTTTTTGCCTTGGAAGTGCACATTGATCTGATGTGATCACTATTGAAGTTCCCCATTTCAAAGTGTGCTATACATACACTTTCATTCAGTGGGAAGAGAGAGTATGTTCGTGGTCTGTTGAGTTTAATTATTATGGATATTTTAGGTTAGTATCAGAAAAAAGGAATTTGATCACCATTTGTACAGGTGACATTTATTAGTAAGCTGTTCAGCTTTTGCTTTTTCCTCTTGAATTGTAGGTGTGTGTTTATATTTCATTTCTAGGCCAACTATGTACAGAATTTGTGAGAGAACATTAAGCCTTATGTCAAGGATTATTAATTGTAAATGAAAGAGGACCCCAAAATTTCAGAGGAATAGACAAGCCAGTTAAGAAATGATTACTTAAAGTTGCTTCTCTCTTCCCTTCTTACTCATGAAATTAGTCTTTTTTTTTTTTTAATTGCATTACATGATTCAGTCACTATTAAGGTCCATTCATTAGAGTGACTTGCATGTTGGCCAATGAATCATTCTCAGCTTCTGAGCAAATGGGTCTTAGACATATGCAAAGACCCACCTTTCATCTGTACAGCTCTTTATTGAGCACTGGTATTTTGCATTTCACATAGAGATGTGGTTACCTTTGAGCTTTTAAAGGGACCATTTAGACAAAGAAGCTAAGAAGGAGAAAGACCAATCAGCGCATGCCTCGAGAAAGAGTAGCTGGCAGAGGAATTTAGAAGACAGACTGACCGCCTTTAGGAGACTCACTTATCCCCTTCCTGTGGTTTCCTAGCGCCACACTGATTTGCAAACGTTCCCTCCTGTCCAGACAAGCTGAAAGCTCTACCTTCCCCTATACACGGCAGGCTGGTAGGGCCTTCCTTCCAAACAGCACATTGCACTGGCTTCCTTCCCCAGTTCCTGCTGGTGATAGAAGTCTCTGAACACCTGGGAGGCACAACAGAGATCTGAGCACGCAGCAGCAGAGTGCTCTCCTCTAAGCAAACACCACCTTCCCTGCCTTCCCACCACCGGACCCCTGCAAGAGGGGACCTAGAGAGAGCGATGGCAGCCTGAACACAGAAAACATCCCCCATTGGCAGACCCCTCCTCAGCAATCTCCCCTCAGCCTCATGCTTCACTTGCAAAGTGTGACATAACCACGGGACGAGTGCCTTGCTTGAACCAAAGCAACGATTTAGCCAGTCTGGACCTCTCTGTGCTTTTTTTAATCCTTCCTGTGAATACCTCAGCTTCAACTGGGCCTCCATACAGTAAATTGGTGGGCTTATTGTACTGTGGTGCTTTGCAATGCAACCCTGCAAAGAACAAGATTTGTACTAATACCAAAGGTTCTCTCTGTCTCTTCCTTCTGCTCCCCGTCCTCCTCCCTTTTCTAGTTCTTCACGGTTCCAAAGCTTTAATACGAACCCTGGGCATGTTGGCAATGCAGACCGCGCAATTCCTTACCGAATTTTCTCAGATATACCTCATAGATAATAGTGTTTAGAGTAATGTTATTATAGCGTATGTAATAAATATTCACTGTTTCTTTTGGTAACTGTGATTTAAAAAAAGAAAAAAGAAAAAAAAAGCTTTATACGTTTTAGGTTGTGCTTTTGTAATAGATGAAAAGGTGCGCTTAAAAAAAAAATGTATGTTCTTTTTTTTTCCCCCTTTGGATTTTATTTATTCTTGATTGGGGAAAGTTGCAGAATGAGCCCAAAGTTTACAGTTTCATATTTTGCTGACGAAACAATCTGTGTTCATTTGCTCTGTTGAAAAAAATTATTATTTTCTACATTTGTGCTACTTGGTCTGAACAATTAATTGTTCTGTGTTAACAGTGTAGTATTATAATTAGCAACTGCCAATCAGTGCTATAAGTTTATGCATGAGGCTAAAAAAATTAGCAGTGTGATGCATTGTGGTCTTAATAGCAACATTTCATTTTGAACTAGATCTTCCTTCCCCTTTGGTTCAATGGACTTTATTTATGCATGGGCGCCAATCGTTTGTTAGCAGTTGTGGAACAGTTGTGTATACATTAAACTGTGAAAATGTACACAGTTCAGCCTCAGGCAGTGGTAATATTGGTTTTCATGGGAGCTGTCTCACCTCAAAAATACCTTTACATCTGTTGGGATTTCAAAATGAGTCAGTTGAACTGGGTTCAAATTTTATGAGACTGGTCATTCCAAGTTTGAGTTAGCCAACTTGTTGTCCACAACTGGGATCCTTGTGACACAGCTGCCTCGTGCTGTGCAAGAGGGGTTTGGAAACAAGCATTGAAAACAACTCAACTCTGCATTTTCAGTCTCCACAAAAGGGCATTATTTTGGCTTTATGTTCATGACCTCAGACCTAACTAGCCATGTGCATGGAGATGTGAATCCATCCAGCTCTCACCTCTCCTGACTCTGTTTGGGAGTGGCCACTTGGATTATGCTTGGTTTCTTCTAGTATTTTGTTGTCAAGTCAATTCCCAATAGAAATTCAAGTGACATCTATATCAGTAATTATTCTATGGCTTTTTATTGTTTTGTCCATTTTCCTGGACAACTCCACCAACTATTCCAGTGATTTGGGCAACATCACCTGTGCGGCCATATCGGGGTTCTTCTTCCCTAGAGTCGAAGAGGATTCTAACTTGCTCTTTCCTGCCCAATAATACGACATCTATCCTAAATGGGCAGTGGAAGAAGTTTTGAATCCCTGTTTCAGAAAACCATCCTGGTTTAAACTCCCCAGTTATCTGAGGCTCTAGCTCTCAAAAAGTATTTTTCATTTGCAAATGAAAACTTGTTCTTTCTTTTATTTCGGTTCTGAGCAAACTTGTTCTTTCTTATATTTCGGTTCTGACCCCTACTCTCAAGTTTCATACCTATTTCCCAAACCAAAATGTTGACATAAAGCCAAATCAACTGCCAAGCACACTTTGCATAGGAGAGTGCAGCCCAGAGTTGGGAAAGCAGCAACCTGCTATGCAAAACATTGGAAACCACCAACAGTAGAGCATTCATATTTCCTGTCGATGAGACAACGCTGGGAATTCATTTTCATTAATAACACACAGAAACTTTTTTTTGGCCTTATAAAGTAGATGGTGATAATGAAAGCTTTGTAATAGATAGTCTCCCCCCCACCCCCCACCTTATTAACCTGCCAAAGATGGGAATGGATACAAGAATTTTAAGTTGGCTTTTGTAAGACAGTTAATGATTGTAATCGTGTTTAATCTTCCAGAAAACTTTATGTGTTCTTCCTCAATAAACCGAATCAATTATTTGTTTCAGTGAAGTTCTCACACTCACAAACCCACAAACTATTCCTCTTGACGCCGGTATTGTAGTATCTACAAGGTCCAAATGCATTTTCCATCCAAAGTAAACAGAGGAATGTCTGAGACACGAAGGTGCCCTGCCCTTTTTATCACAAGCAACGCACGGGTCTGGTCCGCTAGGATTTGCCACGAAGTCTTGTCATATGAAACTCGAGGTATATTTTGTTATGCCATCCTATGTCTTTTTTTTCTTTTTTTAGACTTTGTGGAAAGTGATATGTTGAATCAAGTGTAAGCTGAGTTTTCCAGACAACTGAAGTAGCTACATCGTGAATGTTATTTTGTTATTAAAGGGTTTTTACTCAATGCTTTGTGCCCGTGGGTGTCCTTTTCCTTGGAGACACAGTACTGTGGGATTACCTCGGTGTGGCCTGGATTTCGCTCCTGCTCTCATGGTGGGAATGTGGGCCCGGCCTGGGAAACGGAAGGTCATGGGCTAGCAGGTCGATGTTGGCGCTAGGAAGAGATCTCCGTAACTATCAGCTTTAAAGAGAGCTGGGCCCAAACTTTCCAACCTCACTCTCTCTTGACCCCAGCACTTCTCTGGAATCCCTTGGCCTTGAGCACACGCCAGCATGCAGGCAGGCCCCAATTCTTACAGAAAAGGCAGGAAGAGAACGTAGTAATCATCGGGCTTCTGTGGCCCAGCAGGCAAGCACCTTCCCCCAGGCTGGGCGCCACCAGCCAAGGTGTGGGCAGCCATCACTTTGGGTGTCTTCCTTCCCCTTGGCTACAGCAAAGGGTCCCGGTCCCCACAGTCCGGGGGCCTCTTCCAAACCAGCCCCCGTCACACTTCCTGTGCGTTCTGGCTGAGCTATTTCATCTATAATTTGTGCAGAGGATTGGAAAACAAAGCAAGGCCTGGATGGGTATTTCTGATTTTGTTTCTAATTTATATCTTAGCTAGTCCCAGGTCTTTGATCTGGAAAAACACAAGAAGGAAAAGGAGACCTCACTGCTGCTCATGCCTTGCCACTCTCTCCGGGGCCACACACACTGCACATGCTGTGGATTTTAGGGGACAGGCCGAACCACAGCTACTCAGCCAAGAAAATGGTCCGTCAATACCTACTTTATCGCTGTTTGAAAGACCTCTTCAAAAAGCTGTACAGCTTGGGGTTTCTTCCCATTCTCTTTGCTTTGTCTCAATTCGGCATTTAGCTTAAGAGTCAGTTTGCTGTCCAGGGGAGTTTTTGTTTGTTTTAATCCTCACCTGAGGCTAATTTTCCATTGATATTTAGAGAGAGTGGAAGAGTGAGGGAAAGACAAAGAGAAATATGATGTGAGAGAAACACATCAATTGGTTGCCTCCTGCACGGGAGCCCAGGCCGGGGAGGAGCCTGCAACCAAGATATGTGCCCTTGACCGGAATTGAATTCAGGACCCTTTGGTCCACAGGCTGATGCTCTCTCCACTAAGCCAAACCGGCTAGGGCAGGGGGGAGTTTTGTTTTGTTTTGTTTTCAGATTATGACAGGGAACCTGGTGAGAATGGTTAAGTATTCAAAGACTGTTGGCTGAGTAATTGTATCATTAACAGATACTTCCTTGAAGCTAAATCATTTCCTTTCTTTTCTATGTCATTTTGTGTTACAAGAGTCTAAATGGTACCAGCAAACTTCTCATCATGAAAGGCTATATGACATCTGGCAAATTGGAATTCCTGAAATAAGACAACCTTCGCACTGACAAAATGATAACATCTAAGCTTGGCAGGCAGAGACCGAGGTGGTAACAGGCATAATCTTTTGTTGTTGTTAATTCTTACCCAGGGATACTTTTCCATTGATTTCTAGAGAGAGTGGAAGCAAGGGGGGAAGAGAGAGAGAGAGAGAGACAGAGAAAGAGAGAAGCATAGATGTGAAAGACACATCAATTGGCTGCTTCCTGCACATCTTCTGACCTAGGCCAGGGATTAAGTCTGCAACCCAGGCACATGCCCTTGACCTGGAATTGAACCCGGGCCCTTTGGCCCACAGACCCACGGACCATCCAGGGCAATAGGCATAATCTTGGCTCTGGTTTCTCTTCCAATTCATATCTCCAATCACCAAATCTTATTCTCTCCCCACCCCCTTGCCCCGCTCCCAATCCTAGAGCTCTCCAGTCTCTTCTCCCCTGGTCTAGGTGCCAAAGAATTTCACGGGCAAAGATAATTCAGGGTTGACCAACATTTCAGTTAGGTCTCTTCTCTACCCTTTGCTTTTCTCAAAGAAGCTGTGTTTCTGGACTGTAGAGAAAGAGCCTGGCCTTTTTTATTGTTCCATCCTTCCTCTTCTGATCTTTTTTCCCATGTTAACATTTTATTAGTACAGGAACTGTAAATTCTTTCTTGGTCAATGAATTCTTACTAGAGAAACCATCCTCCCACCAAAGTGAGAACACGTTCCAGCATCTTTCCTTTCATTGATTGCTGTTCTCCAGATTAAGTCCGTCCTTTTTATTTCACATGCTGGCCTGTGGGCCTGAATCCTTGCTTCCAATCTGGCAGTAACTTTATAATTTTAAAGAGGACTAAAATGAGGGAAGGGAGGAAGAGGGAAAGAAAAGAATTTGCCCCAGCTCTGTTTAAAGTTTAAAATGGAAAGAAGGGAGCCTTTAAGCCCTGGGGAAATGGCTACACGGCGGCTAACCTTCCCCGTGACAGCCCATGCTCTGCCACATGGCTTCTAGGTCAGTTCTTCCAGAAACCCAGCCATTAGTAGAAACCCAGCACCTTTCCATGGGTCTCTATCCAGATTCCAAGGGGACAAGAGATCAAAGAGTCACATGCACATCTCTGGTCCCAGTTCCTGGCTTTTGCAGATGTTATTTCCCAGAAAATCATAGTGGAGGAGGGAACCTTCAACTTTCATTTTCTAGTCAATCTCTTTGACATCACCTCTCATATTTAAAATCAGGAAAACATGCCCCTCAAATTGCCATTCAGTTCTGTTTTGAAAAAGAGAACCCTAGTTCATCCACATTCTTATTTTCTTTTCACCCTGAGCTAAATTTCCAAAGCACAGTATAACCTAGATTTTGCCCCATCTCAGACATGTTAAGTCAGACTGTGCTGAAAGATTTCCCAGGGATGGTCAACGAGGAGTATGTTCAGTGGCTGCCCTGAAATTCTGCTGGGGATGAGGATCACATACCATTAGCAAGGGGGCTCCTTACCCCCTGTTAAGCTCCCAGTTTGGGGAAAGATGTCTTTGAATTTTAATTGCATTTTCAATTGGCTTAATTCACACCCTGATGTTTTGTCTGCAACACTGCTTACACTGGATTCTTTCTATTTTTATTCCTATCATTAAATGGTAGTGCTGTAAATTCTGCAATTAATGTCAAATAAACTGCTTTCATTCACTGACCATGGCTCAGTCGGCTTTTTTCTCTTTTCATGCAAAGGATGAAGCATTTTCCCCCCACCCCACC